GGGGACGGGACCCGGCCGGCCATGAGCCCCGGCAGCCCCAGGGACCAGCGGGTGAGGGGCGGGGCCTGGTGGGCGGGGCCATCCGAGCGTCCCTGACCCCCCTTCCTGCTCGCATAGCCCCAGGGGCCAGAGGGGCGGGACCAGGGTGGGCGGGGTTTTCTCGGAGTGCCTCAGACCCCGCCTCCTGCCCCCCCCAGTCCCTCTTTCTTAATCCCCCCACCAGTGGGTGAAGGGGTTGGCCTGGTCTGAAAGGGTGTGAGCAGTGGCCCCAGGGCGCTGAGAGTCTGTAACCTCACCTCCTGCTCCCTGCAGCCCCCCACGCCCGAGACTGACTACCCTGAGCTGCTGACCAGTTACCCCGAGGAGGACTATTCCCCCGTGGGATCTTTGGGTGAACCGAGTCCCACCTCTCCCTTCACTACACCCCCCGGCTGGTCTTGTCACGTAGGCCCTGACAAGCAGACGTTCTACACCAACCACTTCACCCAAGAGCAGGTAGGCGCTGCTTCAGAAGGGCCCAGACCCGCACAGGGTGGCTCCCCCCACTCCCCTCGCTGGTAGCTCTAAATGCAGATGAGTCACCAGCCCCTGCCCTGCCATCCCCTGGGCGGCCTGGGAATCTAGTTGGAGGAAACCGCCCCCACCCGGCTGGGCCCTGACATTCCTCTCCCCACAGTGGATGAGGCTGGAGGACTCACAGGGGAAGCCCTACTTCTACAACCCAGATGATGCCTCTGTCCGGTGGGAGCTGCCCCAGGTAATCAACTGGGGGTGGAGGGGAGTGTTGGGGAGAGAAGAGACTTTATATGACAGTGACTTTCTCCCCAGGTCCCTGTCCCTGCCCCTCGAAGCATCCGCAAATCCAGCCAGGACAGTGACACTCCAGCCCAGACTAGCCCCTCAGAGGAAAAGGTAAAGGAGGCACATGGGTCCTGGCAGGACCACCACGGAAGTGGGATGGTTTCAGGAGGTCCTGGGGGCAGGGACTGGCGGGATGCAGGATGTATCTGAGTCCCCCAGCAGCCCCAGCGCCAGGTCCCAGAGGTATTCGAGGTTGGGAACTGGGAGGAAATCTCTCCTGCTGCAGCTGCTGGGGTGGGGGCAGCTGCCCAGCCTAGTGGCTGGGCCTGACAGCTGCTACCACCTGTGGTTTACCCTTAATTCCCACGCCCTTTCCCTTCTCTCTCTTAGATCAAGACCCTGGAAAAGGCAGGGGTACTGCATCGCACCAAGACGGTGGACAGGGGAAAGCGGCTCAGGTGAGGACCCGTCCATACCCAGAGCAGTGCATGGAGGCCACAATGGTGAGGTGCACCGAGCACTCCCATGTGCCAAGCTCTTGATATCCTCACAGCGACTTCATGAGAGGTCCTTGAGGAAAATGAGGCACTGAGAGAGAGACGACTCGCCCAAGGGCCCCTGGCTCCCAGGTGTTAGAGTCAGGAGTCTAGCCCTGACAATCCGGAGCCCAAGCTGTGTTCTTGCTTTGTGCCATGTTCCTGGGAGTGTGAGGGGGACCTCTGCCTAGGACCAGATCTAAGCCCGGCCTCCTCTCCTCTCCCACCCCTGTCTAGGAAGAAGCACTGGAGTGCCTCCTGGACCGTACTGGAGGGTGGCATCCTGACGTTCTTCAAAGACTCCAAGACCTCAGCTGCAGGCGGCCTGGTGAGGCCCAGCCCAGGCCACCCCATCTGCTCTCCCTCTAATGGAGCTCTGGAAAGGCCAGGTCTGAGCTAGCACTGCCTGAGTGCCAGAGCAGCTGGGCCTCGGCAGGGTGGCGGCAGCGCATGCACCCTAGCACACCGGCACCAGCCATCTTGGGATGGGAAGCAGACCTTGGGGGCTGGGGGGATTCTGGGCACACCTATGTACAGAGAGGTGGCTGTGCTCCTCTCTCCTTCCTCCTGTGTGGGCAGCAGTAGAGGACATGCCAGGCAACAGGCTACGCGGGTAAGACACACTGGGATTTCTGGATTCCAGAAACCCTTGGGACCCTTTCCCCAGAGCTGCTGGCTGGCCACACCAGGGACCCCATCCTGTCCCTAGAGCCAGAGGGCACTGATGGCCCAGAGCCTGGGTGCTATAGCAGGACCTTTGAGCTGAAGGCCCCTGTAACCTGCCCCCCACCTGCCTTCCTATCCCGCAGAGGCAGCCTTCCAAGCTCTCTACCCCCGAATACACAGTGGAGCTGAGGGGAGCCTCTCTCACCTGGGCCCCCAAAGACAAATCTAGCAAGAAGAATGTGCTGGAGGTGAGTGGGGGGCTGGGGAAAGGAGGAGAGGGCCTGCCAATGGTCTGGGACCCTGGCTGCAGGCAGGCCCCAGAAGGAAGTTATGGTGAGACCTAGGACTGGAATTCTTAGGGCTAAAGGCCAAAGCTGTCCCCACCAAGGGGTCTTCCCATAGTTTCTGGCATCAGACATCCTGCAGTTCCCTCTCCAGTCCTGGCCCTGGAGGTGGTGGAGATGAAACTGCCATGCTTAGAATGGCAGCCCTCGTCCCAGCCCGAGAGAAATGGACTCAGTCCCTGGCTGCTTACCTGGCAGGCTGGGCTGCGACACCAGGTCCCATCTGGGCAAGGCCCCCAAGTGAATATGCCAGGGTGGGGGCCAAGCTTGTGAGGATCTTCCAGCAAGAAGAGAGGAAGACCCAGGCGAGGGTCCTGATGGCACCACAGCCCTCACTGTCCACGTGTCATCTTGCTTATAAACTATTCTGATCCCACTTCAGTCCCTAACAGTTTTGAGGCAGATCACAACAGAAACTCATGGAAAAGCCACTGAAAAGCCAGGGCCAGGTACAAGTGGGAAATGGGGGTAAGGTGCAGGTGATGGACAGCTGCTAAGGTGGTTGCTGAAAAAATTTAGCTCCAGTTTTCCTAGTAGCTAAGGTAAAAGGGAAGGGCTCTCCGTTCCATGGGTCTTACTGTTGAAAAAGAATAGTAATAAAGCCTCAGATTTAGAGGTGATCAAAGCTTTTTCCTAACCCTTATATCTTGAAGATATTTCTAGTGTGTCAAGCCTCCAACATGGGGCCGAGGGGGATGAGGCCAGTGGTCTATTAAAGAGTCCCTTGGAGGTTTAATTAGGAACCTTAGGGTTGAAGATTATGATGAAAGCCAAAAGTCTCACGTTGTCACTCGGCTCAAAAAAGGCAATTCTGCAAGGAGCCTGAGCATGTCATTTCCTTGTGTTTTGTTTTTAATCTTTGCTATAGGGTGCATATGTTTGCCAGAGACAGAGACAGGGAGAGACAGATAGAACATGAGGAACACCCCCCTCCTGGAAGATGACCACAGTCCTCTCTCCCCCTCTCCTCAAGATTTTGGGCATGCACACACACGTGCCTAGAGTGTTTTTCAAGCCACCAGGTTTGGAACCCAAATCACACAGTTGGCCATGTGGGATCAGCCACCTTAATTTCTGTGCCATCCACTGGTCCCAGTGTGTCATTTCCTGATGTTTCACCAAGCTTCGTTAAGTTTTAAAACCAAAGTACCCATTCAGCAGAGTCAGAAAACCAGTTCATCTCAGGTGCTAATCTGATCAGTAGGTCTGGAGCCTTCTGGAGAATTTTGGAGCCTTCCTCAGGCTTGGCAGGATGGAGTTCTATAATCTAATGACAGTGTCTGTCACAGTGTCAAATTGAGAGGGACATCACATTTGCTAGGCACGTTCCTTCTCTGACCTTGAGGGATAACTTTCAAATAGCTCTCTGCAAACGTCTTTGGGTTTTTGACGGCCGTTTCAGGGTAGGCTTTTCTGGCAAGAGCTGGAAGGCAGATGGTACGCGTGGAAGGTGCTCAAGCCAATGAGGAGGCTGAAATGAGGAGCCCCCCTGCCTCCTGGCTGGCCAGTAGCGTCCTCTCTCCACTTAGGGGTGACATGTGGCAGTTACAGGATTTTCCTTAAGACAGCTCGAACTTCCATCTCAGCAAGGATGGGTGGGTTAGTTGGGCCCAGAATTTCCCAGCAGGTCTTCCTCATCAGCCCAGAGCGCCAGGAGACTGCAGAAACAGCCCCCAGAGAGCAGTGTACATCGAAGGAGGAATATTTGGTGAAATACATTGCTTTGTGACTGGACGGCTTTGCTTTCTGTACAAACTTCCAAATACAAACTGATTAGCTTTTGAAAGAGCTGCCAGATACAATCATTGTTGTTGGGCCAGCCAGTGGCATAGTGGTTAAAGTGGCTGCATCTTACATGGCCAACATTGTGGTTCAAGTCCCAGACCTGGCAACTCAAAAAACATGCCAGATGTGCATTTGTGCATGCTCAGAAAACAGAGGAGTATGTCTGTCCCTCCTGGGGGGTGTTTCCCTTTCTCTCTGTCTCTCTCCTGCGCATGCCCTGTAGCCCTATAGCAAAAAAATAAAAATTAAATTAAAAAGACTTTAAAAAAGAAAGAAAAGAAAAATGATTGTCATTGTAGGAGTGTTGTTGGGCTGTTCTCAAGGACAATAGAGGACAATAGACAGCAGGGTCCCTCCTGTCCACCGAGACTGCCATGACGCTGTTCTCTCTACCTGTTGGAGGTTCTTTTTTTCTTTTCCTTTTAAAAAGCAGTTTAAATGGTATTCAAGTACACATTTAAAAGGAGGGCAGTTGATGGGCATGTCTGTGACCCTGGCTAGTTAGGAGGCTGGGGGTGGGATCGTAGTGTGGCCAGACCCTGTCAAGGATACTTCTCTCTTTCTCATGAGAGAAAAAAAATAAACTTAAAAAAAAAAAGGCGGGGGCAGTCAGAAGGCAGTCGTCTCTAGAAGTGCTGTCTAGACGTGGTTCCTGTTGTCTTAGACGGTTTCTGCTGTCTCTCACTCACACTGGACCGAAGGGGCGGGTTGGTGGGAGCAGTGGGGGCCAGCTCCCTAGAACCCTTGACTCTCAGACCCAGAGGCTCATGAGGGAGCCATTGGGTGGCCTCCCAAGTCAGAAAGGGCTTTGACGGGAATCAGCAGTTAGCGTAATGGCTATGTCGCTAGACTCCCACATAGTCGACCACGGTTCGTGTCCCGGACCCGGTGGCTTAACCCGCTCCGGGTGCGTGTGTGTGCGTGCCCAAGATCCCGAGAGGAGAATGGAGGAGAAGGGATTGCAGCGTGACCATCCCTCCTGGGGGGTGATTTCTCGCTTTCTGTCTCTATGTCTCTCTCTGTCTGTCTGGCGAGCGCAAGCGCCCTATAGCGAAAACCTCTCCAAAAAAAAGAAAGAAAGAAAGAAAGAAAGAAAGGGCTTTGAGCCTTCAGGCCTACAGTGGAGAGTTTCCTTCTCGCTGGCATTGGGGCCTCCAGGCTGCAGAAGGTGGGGCAGCGCTCCTAGGTCCTCATTGTTGGGGCAGGTCTAGCAGTGGCACCTGCTTTCTCCAGGATCAGCCGTGATCTGCTTTCAGACCCTCTCCCCGCTCCTTTTTTCACTGTTAACTCCAGCAGCCAGAGGTTTCCCACAGGAAGTTTCTCCCACTTCGATTTTTGCAGGCCTGTGCTCTAGGTGACACCTGCCATGTTCTCTGGCTCAGGAGGCGGGTTGGGGCCTGGGAAAGGGTGCCAAACATAGGGCTGTGCCGATCTGCAATGGCCACTCTAACTGCGTGCCCTCAGGGAAGCTGCTGGAACTTGCTGGGCCTCAGCTTGCCCATCTGTAAACAGATGCTGTCACCCACTGGCTTAAGTGAGGTAGAAGACCTTGGCCTAGAGGGAGGCCCTTGTTACATTAAGCTCTGAGCTCCTGGGGGCGGAGACAGGTCACCTCCCTCTGTGTACCCCAGAGCAAAGCCAGAGAACCAGAGATGACAGACTGACTTGTGTCCCTCCAGCTGCGGAGCCGGGATGGCTCGGAGTACCTGATCCAGCACGACTCGGAGGCCATCATCAGCACTTGGCACAAGGCCATTGCCCAGGGCATTGAGGAGCTGGTAGGCAGAGCCTGGGGCCCTCAGGGCTGGAGGGCGAGGGTGGCCATTTGTTATGCTGGGCAGCCATGCCCACTCTGGGTGGGGTCCTCAGCTCAGGCACAGGGGGCTACATGGCACCAGTGGGGAGGAGCTGGGATGGCAGGATAGGCTGCTGAGGAAACCGCCTTCCTTCGTGAGTGAGTCCAGCCCTGGGTAGCTCTGCGGGTAACTCCCCCCCCAAGTGAATGTGAGGACACACACTTGAGGAATTTCCCACTTCCAGGGAGACAAGACAAAAAGGAAATACTGAGAACCAATTTTGGTCAGAATGGCAGGCTGAAACTAGAAGATAACATTTAAAAGTTTTTTGGTTTTTTTTTAACAGATTTTTGCTATAGGGCATGTGCACTCACTAGAGAGACAGAGTCAGAAAGTGAGAAATCACCCCCAGGAGGGATGGCCATGCTGCATTCTCTTCTCCTTCATTCTCCTCTTGGGATCTTGGACACACGTGCACACACGCTGGGCATGAGTTTTAAGCTACCGGGTCCAGGACTTGAACTGCTGTTGACTATATGAAAGTCCAGCGACGTAACCATTATGCCCTCTGCTGGTCCCAAATTTTTAAAGGATTTAATTTGAGTCTACCATTTTTGGGGTTCAAGATATTCATTGTATAAGTATAGATAGGGCAGATCTCTCACATCTGGAAATGATCTGGGGCTTTTTGACCCTTAATTCCCTATGAGCCAACACTGGGTGCAGCTCCCGGCTGTATTAATAGAAGTAGGGATCCAGAGGCACGAAGGTGGTGCTGGTGCAGTTGGCGATGCTCCAGGATGGCAGAGTTGCAATTGCACCTCAGAGCTGGAGCCACACCTTGAGGAACAGTGACCTAGTGGAGTGTGTGCAGAGGAGCAGAGGAAAATATAGGCAGGGAGGCCAGGAACTGGCTAGGGGTGGGGTAAGAAAGGGGGGGGTGGGGCAGAATAAAGGCCTCCACCAACCTAGGGACTCCACGCAGCCAAGACAGGGTCCCTGGTGGAGGGAAGGGGGACTGATCTGATTATGGGAAGAGAATTCTGCCAAGCCTGCTGGGAAGGCCTTTCGGATCCCTTGCTCGCCTGGGAAGGACCCCCCTCCACCCTCCGCGCTGGCCCAAGCCGACGCGCTCGCTGAGGCTGCGTGGTTCCAGTCCGCAGACCTGCCCCCGGACGAGGAAAGTGAGACCGGCAGCACGGACTTCGGGTCGCGCGAGCGCCTGGGAAGCTGGTGGGAGAAGGATGATGACACGCGGTCGAGTGCAGGTGTGCGCAGGAGAGGTCGCGACGCCTCCGGGAGACTTATCGGGGTGGTGTATGCGGTGTGCCCAACCCAACGCTCGGGACTGACTCGCTCCTGCGTCCCTCTGCGGCAGCCGCGCCCACCCCGGGCCCTGGGGGCCTGGAGAGCGACTTGAGCAAGGTCCGGTACAAGCTCCGCAAGTTCCTGCAGAGGCGGCCCACGATGCAGTCGCTGCGGGAGAAGGGCTACATCAAAGGTACCCGAGGCCGGACGCGGAGGGGGCGGGCAGGGCGGGGCGGGCGCCGGGGGGGGCGGG